CGGGAATGCCTGCTTGAAGAACCTGGTCTACGGTGACATGAGTAAGTGGCATCGGATACACTCGATAGTGGTTCGTAGGGACTATATACTGATTGTATAGGCTTCCAATTATGGCGCTGCATGGGCGATGTCTCAAGCATGTTCTTCGCTCTCGGACTTCACCAGGAGGACTCCGGACTCGAGGCAACCTATCCTTTCTACCAAGTTGAGTTGAGAAGGAGATACGCAGCCCAGATATATTCAATGGACAAAACGATCAGTACATTCCTCGGCCGCCCGCCCAGAATTTCGGGATCCTACTGCGCCAATACCATGCCCGCTGATATCGACGACGAGATACTGTTGCTAGAGGGAGACGAACTAGATAATGCATTAGGCAATATCGATGCGAACGGCTGGAATATGGATCGACACTTTCGTGGTGCAACCTGGAGACGGATAAAGCTAATTATCAGCCAGTTCCGGGAGGAAATACTTGGACTTTGTCTCGGTACGCGACTCTCTATTGGAAATGAGGCTTTGGCAAGGTGGGTACTCTTTGATTTCGGGTAAGCTCTAAATTATTAATCAAAACTCGATAGGGACATACTGGCTCGACAGGAAGCTGTATGGGATCAGATTCCACAAGATCTCAAGTACGACGAAATCACTGGATCTCAGCACATACCTCCTCCTCAGCGATATGTTGTGATGACTACATACATGGATCAAAAATACACCTGCTTCTTATTGCATCGAAAGCTTTTGAACGAGACGGAGTGGACGCGGGCGCCATTGTACAGGATTTCGAGGTCACTGCTGAATACTGTCTTGCAGGTAGTGTCGCTCTCTGATCAGGTATCCAACATGCAGCGAGATATATCTTGGCCTGTAAGTGCTACTAATAGTCTTTTTTGTTTGATACACAACTGAATTTCTCCCAAGATGCTCTATTACGGGCTACCAGGAGCCAGTATCCTGGCAGTGGACCTATTGAAGCACCTGCATCCTTCATTCAACACTTCGAATCCGGAAATTAAGGTGATTCCTCGAGCCGAAGTTATACAAAACCTCGCTGTGTTTGTCTCAAATCTTCAAAGAAGCATCAATCGAAGAGAAGTCAACGGTGAATCTTGCAGACGGGCCCATGGAATCTTGTCCCGGATCTTGGATGAGATAATCGACCCAACAAACGGCCAGTTGGCAGTTTTAGATATGGAAGTACAGCAAATGCCGAACAGCACACCGTTTCCATTTACCTCTGGATTTGACAGTGACCTCAATATCGATAACTTCTTCAGTCAGATTGGAAACTGGGATTTGGCGCTCGACACTTCGGCCATCGTGCTATAATTGACTGGAACAAACAGGTTTACAGAAATACTGTTGCGCCAGCTTGCCAGCCACAGCAGTGAGATACTATGATCCGTGCATTTTATCCAACCCCATAGTGGAACTACGGAGCAGTAAGTCAATTATTATTTCATTACTATGTAATGTACGGCTTTCGTGCGGATGAGGCTAACGTCCGTTTCAATAGCATTGAAACCGACCAACAATTTCACAAAAGCCCGATAACAACCTCACCCTTAACTCTCGCATCGAGATTAAGCTGCACCTTCGCACGCAAATTGAGTCGGACTCGAATCTGCAAGCTACCGCTCTTCTCCGGCGTCTCCCACTGCAAATCTGGATCGTCGATGTTCATGTTCATACCACCAGTGGTAATCTCCTTGACGGTATCCTTGACGCCGCCGGCCTTGTCGCCGACGCCCTTTGTCAAGTTGCCGACATCTCCTCCTACGTCGGTCATCTTTGATCCCGTATCTTGCGGTTGTTCTTGAGAATTGCTTTGATCACCCCCTTGATCGGCTGGGGCTGCTGTTGGATCTGTGGGTGAGCTCTCTCCAGGTCCTTGCTGGTCTTCCTTTGGTGAATCCACTTTTTCCAATGGTGGACTCGAAAGCTTCTTCGACTTCCGTCGCTTGTTGAGTTTTGGTGGTTTTGGAGAGGAGGGCGAAGTTTCTGTTGGGCTTGACGTTCCAGGTGGTTGTTCGCTTTAAGGTTGTGAAGATGTGTTAGCCAAATGTTTTAAGTCTATTCATAACATGAACGATCTCGACAAACAGTGGGAGCAAAGGGTAAGTCTACCTTGACATGAATTCTTCACACTTACATTGCAATGTCTCCTGGACCTCTGTCACCCATGTTCTGAGAGTTACAGGAGGACCCTTTTATCCGCGATTAGGCTCGCCGCATTACATGGTGGGTGTAATGGACACAGTGGGCTTAAAAAATTCACCTATGAAATGGATATCCGCATGATGCCGGTTCCAGCAGAAGTCTTCCGCATCCGGCGAAGTTGCTACTCATTCACACCCTAACTTTGTTGCACACGCGGCATTCAATATGTCATCCAACGTCGCATCGGCACTGCCGAGGAGATGGAATGCAGTGAGGGGCTCCGCAGACGGGCCTCACCGGGGTGACCGAGAATATATGAAAGTCGCAGCAGAACTAGACCTGCTCCTAAGAAAAGTCTATGATACTTGCATAGCAGCTTTACGTCTATTCGAACAGCCAGCAAATTGTCAGAAACGAAGCTGCCCAACATGGTGTTCTCATTAGTCATGATGTCAACATTGGTGCCCACTATCATAGGGCTGAATGAAGCTACGAAGGGTGCTCGAGATCAGGAGGAAACTCGCAGAGCCGAGTCACGATCACGACGATGTCATCTGGTAGCCACTTGCGAGGAAACCACGGGATCGCCGACGCAAAGACAGCAGGTCCACAATGCTAAAGTGTATCTTGACAAGGACTATAAGGTTCGATTGACATATACAGTTTCGGGATTTTTGCGTGACAGGTTGCTAAATGTATTAGGTTTACATCATCAAACAACCAAGCCCCAGCATGGCCCCATTCAACGGACAGTACTACACACACCCAGCTTTCGGACAAGACAACTCGGCCGGTCTAATCTCAATGAGCCCGGAAGAGCCGCCCCTCGCGCGGTGGGTATATCTGGACAAGGAGACGAAGCAATTGAGTTATGGAAACAGGAAGGATAGCGAGGAGAACGTGTGCGGTCCGTTCGACTGGACGGAAGACGAACAATACGTCACTTTGGAGGGGAATGAGCGGTGGCTGGCAGTGCGATTGCCAGATGATGTCCGGAGGGAGCAAGAGTACGAGGATCTGGGTTTGGATGATGATAAGGCTGTAAAGGGTCTTTGGAGGCTTTACTTCGATCGCGAGGGCAATAGTCTGGACCTTCCCGAGGGGACAGAGATGATGACAATCCGTTTGAAGCGGGATCCAGTGGAAGAAGAAGAAGAGGAGGATGATTTCTTCTGAGTCAACCAGTGTCCGCAGAATCGTGGATAGCAAATGACTGGTTGCACTGGTCTGGTGGTATGTTGCAAACGGATGGGCCGACTTGGTGTTGCAGTACTCCGTACCAGCCATCCCGGGAGGCCGTTTTCGGTAACCCGCCGTAGTACGGAGTCTGTTAGTCATGGACACCATCCTAGCATTTGTCCGGAGTTACTTGAATCGTAATACATTTTATCTGCCAGCAGACGATCAAAACAAAAACAAAGTGGTATCACATTAACCGAGAAACTTTAGTCTCGCCTCAGACCTATCACCCATCATGACTCCACGTTTCGTAACTCATCAGAAAACGTAAATCAGGCTACTCAGTCAATCACCGCGTCGGGATGAAATGTTGCGAATCCTTCTCCTGCTCACTGAATGACTCACGGAACGCAGCAATGGCTGCAATGATTGCAATCGCAATGAACGCAAGAGAAATGAACGACCAGATGACACCCCAGCACTGCGAAGATCCTCCGTATCTCTTGGCGAACTGGCTAGCATCGGATGTGTTGACTTTGCGAAGGATAAGGTCGTCGCACTATACAACGCAGTTAGCACACCACCCCAATCAACGCACACACCGAACACAACAAAGAAAAGACTCACAATATCCCAAACACTATAAAGCGCCGACATCACCCCAATGAACAACTATATCCCACATGTCAGTAACCCACCCCAACACCCCAATGACCAAAAGAAAGAAAGGGAGCCTACCACAACCCACTTCAACGCCTCCCCATGGGCAATAAACCAACAAGCGACCAACAACCCCACGGCCAACAAAATGGTAATGATAGTCAACCAATCCCTCCTCGCCCACCAAAGCGTGAGCAAAAAGCACACCCCCAGAACAATACTAGCGACTTTACTCGCGACGATATCGAAGCCCGCGAAGATTAACAGCGACCCGATAATCGACGACCCCAGGTATCCAGCAGGTAATGTCACGGCGCTCATTCCTCCTTGCATGTGCGTGACGCCGCCTTCGTGCGGATCGAGCGAGATGGATTTCACGCGCCCGCCCGTGCAGCAGGCTGTTATGGCGTGGCCGAATTCGTGGAAGGCGATTACTAGCATCTATCCCTTCATTAGTATTATTTTCTGGGTAGGTGGTTGGTTTGAAAGGGGGTAGGTATTACCTTGAACGGCCACAACGACCACCGCACATACGGCAAATTCCAAAGCAGCGCAATAACAACCACATATGCTGCCATCACGCCCAACGTTACTGCCTGGGCGTGTGTAACGCTGAGATCGCGCTTCATTATATGATGGTCGATGGCCCGTTGGTCGAGGACCATGTAGTGAGGTGCCATGGTTGCGATGAACTTAACGAGAGTTGGTGTTTGAGTTGGACTGTTTGATAAGGCTGTATGCGAAAAGAAAACAAATATTCAAAGAAAAGAATGAAGACAAGGCACCGGCGCATATTTAATAACCTCGTTTCACACACATGCGACCAGCACTACGCGTTCTACTTGGCGTCGCCCTGTAAATTCCTGCTGCTTTGGGTTTAGTTCGTGGCTGGGGCCGTGGGGTATTTTTAGTACGTCTTTACGTGGCGGTGACTAACCCGGCAGTTTTGAGTAAGTTATTTCACAATCACATTTTAGGTTGCAAGATTTTGTGAAATAATTTTGTTTAATCAAATGGAATAACTAGATTTGATCTATCTAATTATGTATTTCCCGATGTTTTCCATCTGATAATATACCACTAGAAATCCTGTGCTGACTTACACCGCGCAGGGTCTTTGGAAGTAGTTATATTACTTTTTCTCCTTTCAGCCTTGTTGATGGGGTACGTAGATACGCGGAGGGTTTCCGCTGGGTCTAATACTATCTTATCCTATCATATTCTGTCGTTTCCAGTCTGCTTAGTGTTCCACACCTTTTCAACTCTGGAATATAAGATAATTTCTATGGAACTCCACCGGCTTGGCGTTTCACTAGCCTCAAATTGTGGTTTGTTAGAATCGGGCTGTGTATGGTTTATTAGTGTTGGGTTCACTGTATTTTGGTTGATGGGTAGAGACTATTGATGCACTAGAGATAGTAGATATTTTGTAGAAAGTGGGAGATGGTTGTGGGTCTGCAGATCTTGTGTTTTTTTCTGCATGAGTATATTTCAGATCAATACTAAGCACTTTAAATGGGATAGTATGTAGGTGGACGTCCCCATACAAATCTTTATAAGATAGAGTTGGTCACTGCTGTAGATTTAGTATGTCGATCAAAATTCGCAGAACTAGTAAGTACCATTCTTCATTGTTGACCATCTACTACCTAAATCATCCCCTCCAACAGAACCACCCATCTCATCCACCCACACAATTAAAAAAACCCTGAACCCTCACTCAGAACAACATCCTCCCTAACAGTGAATAAAATACACATCTAGGGCTCTTAACCCTCCCAACGCGTCCCCCAACGCGTCGCTATTGGTTGCCTTATAAGAGTGGATTTTCGCGATTCCTTTTACATCTTGATCATGGAGGGGATCATATCTGATTGGACTGATTGATGTTGATTATCTGGGAGTGGGGGCAGTGGGATGGTGGGTATTTCCTTGGGGGAATAGGGTGTATGGCACTGCATTGTGTTGAGGGGGGGTAAGTGTGGTATTTGGGGATGTGAGGAGGGGATTGATGATGGGGTTGGTTTGTTATGTCTTCGGATTGGGGATGGAAGGGTATATAGATGGGTTAACGGCTACAAGGTGATGTGGATGGAGATATAATAAATGGCATTGGTATTGAAAGAACATGGTCACAATTTAGTTTCCTTGGACAGCGAGCTTGATACTAGATGAAGAACGAGCAATATAGTAGGAAAATTCAACATCGCGTGTCATAAGGGTGTAAGGTTGATCCGATCAAACAATATCTCCAGCTTTACTCCCGCCCTCAGCTCTCCAGACGGTCCAACTAAGGGTGATTGTGAACTTCAAGCCAAAGGCAAACCACAGACTGCTTGCCATGGTAGCAACCTTGGACAATCCACCTGCAGTCATCGCTCCCAAGAACAGCGCCAGGAAGGCCCCAATCCTTCTGTTTCTCTTTGCATTCCTCTTTGCCAGCAGATCCGGGTCGACCAGTAGATCACACAGCAAGGTGGTAAGGACTACAGTTGGAATCTCATCATATGCGAGAATCCTTGACGCACAGATCTGCCCACCTGCCTGGAAGGCCAGTAGGGTAATGGGCAGGATCTGCATCCATTGAATCGGAGCCCGGGGATCTTCTGGCTTCGGAGAGACCACTTTGGCCTCAACCAGGATGGCAGCAGCGAGGAGGCAGATGGTCTGGGTAGCGAATGAGAGGATCATGGTGGAACGACGGCGAGGGCTCAGCCTTCTGGCTACCTGGATGAAGATGACGTTGCTGGAGATGAAAGTGCATAGGGCTATGAGTGACTTGGCCCAGAGGTAAGCTGGATATCTAGGCTGGCCGGAAGCACCGAGGGCGATGAAAAGGGTATTCCCTAGTTTCTATTAGAAGCCGCTCTCAGCGACTCAAGTCAACTGCTATGGCGTACCTGTCTGCATGCTTGAGAAGCTACCCCATGCGTTAAATGACAGCCCGTCAACTAGCCCGCTGACAAACCCGCAGACTATTAAAACAATGTCTGCGTATCTCGTGTCAATCTCGGCTTTAAAGTGCCGAGTCATAGTTGCATAAAGGCCTCCTTCTACGGCCTGACCAACAGAGAGGGAGACATTAGTGCTATTGCCTGAGGACCAGAGTCCACCCTTATCTTCGGCAAAATGGAGATGTCCTCTGTTTGTTGTTCTTGCTGCTGGGACCGGTTGAATATCTTCAGAAGGATAGGACTGCATAATTTAACTAAGGGTTTTGCAAAGAGACTGTGGTAGAGCTGGGTAATCTTAATGGATAAAGTTCCTTAACTCGGGCATCCAACGTGCCGGACGTAGGATCTATATGTGGCAGACACTGCCTGGATCTTCATATTCATGGCGAGCCCCCCGTGTGTCTCCGCGCCAAGATGTTGGATCGTCACTCTCCCTAACCTTCGAGTCGATACTCTCATCGGAGCGACGCACGTTTCGCATTATCCTCGTGGTTGGTCTTCACCGCCGCTCTAGACGTTTCAGTTTCAGCCCAATATGCGACACAAACACGCCCCATGAAGTGTTCAGGATAGCATTACCGCATCGGACTCATCAGGCGACAATATCCAGGGATTGAGTGTATTCGGCTTTGGAGGTATCGTATCCTCCGCCGCGCGCCACCTTGGCACCATCTTGGCAGGCCTGCCAATCCGGTTCCGCTGGGCGGCAGAGGCTCATGCTACCCGTCGGTCGGGAGCTGCCAAGCTTAAATTCCCGGCCCTCTTTGTGATTTGGTATCGACTATCCAGTACTGACTGCGAACGGTGGTGGGATTTGGGCAGGTGGCGCACTAGTCCGGGTAGATCCCCATACTCTGCGGGATGGAACGGGATGGATGAGCTAGAACCGAATCATGAAGAGTTTCATCGTGTTAGATGCCTTGATAAGCCACATCACGGCGAGATGGCTGGATAGTACTCGTATAAGGACCTTTCGACGTCAGACACCACATCATCAACACTAGAGCTATCCAACAGTAGACCATAACAGACTCACCCGTCATGCTTCCGCTAGGAGCCAGCAGTAAGTGGCTTTTTGGTATGTCCAAATCCAGCAAACCTTGATTTCAGTTACCGCTGAGCCACGCTGGGCATTTGTCCAAGACTACTTGGCGTCTCTCTCCAGTGTCGTCTGCGAACATTCTTCTCGTTGTAAATGTGAGCCCAGACAAATACCCCTCCGGATCGAACAGATGGGGGCCTCCCGTAGCTATATCTCTTATCGCTTAACGCTTCGTCGACCAGTCATTTTTGGGTGTCAAACAGAGCTTGCGCTGACGAAGGCTATTTTCAAGTGAAGCACAGGTCACGGAGCAGGCAGCCGCAATCAGCTCGTATTGCCATGACAATCATCATTTGTATGCCAGATACAGGTCGTGGCGTCGTATTTTGCATCACAGATCCACAGGCACTGCCTTGATTGTATTATGTGCACCATTAGGTTGCTGGTATCCGCGGAGGTGATAGATCGTGGAGCGAGAGGACCACTGGTGGTACTGGTAAGTTTCTGGGCTGTTGGCTGATGTTAACGAACTAACCTTCACCTGCCTTGTTTACGGATATGCTGCGTGATGGAGTGCGCTACAGAATGTAGACTGATTATTGATTGGCAAGTGCAATGAAGTCGTCTCGAGAGGCTTTTCTGCGCTGGAAGTAGCACTGCATGCAGGCCAAGTGATTGATCCCTTTGAGAAGAGCAAGACTCACATGACCGCGCTTGGCGACATTTCTAGCCTGAAGACGAACTTGCTATGGCGCTTATATGAACTTACCTCAGGACACTCGAAATCATGTCTTCCCTATTATACAGCAAATGAAGACAACTGCTAATCTCATAATCAATCATGGCTATCGAACTAACATAACAATCATAACTAACGACAATCAAGCCCACATCACAGCAAGAGAGCCGTTCAATTGTACATCCGGATCTTCCACTTTTCATATACATGGACCGACGCAACGGACAGGGGCGCTTATTTGCAGTGTCATGCTGCGCAAGCATGACAGAATAAGTGATGAACACAACGAAAACAGTCCAGTGACAGACTCCATAACAGACTCCATAACTCCACGCAAGGCCGGCATGATGATTGTGACAAGCACATCATGGTGTAGACGAAAGGATTAAGATTATGTTCAAATGGGGTATCTTGCCGCATCTCGAGGTATTGACATAGCTGGCATGCGACTACCAACACCAGCAGCTCCTCCTCGCCCAGTACCAGCCCGCAGGTCAAAGTCGGGGTTGTTCTCTAGGAGAACATCATGCTTCCGCTGAGCTGGAACGGGAGGTGGGCGCCAGCGGGGATTGATAGGCCGCTCAGATATTGATGTAAAGTGGCTTACTTCGCTAGTAGTCGGTGAGCTGGGTCCTTCCGCCATATCTTCCATCGGTTTCCTCTCACCAGTAGCACCTGGTGTCAAGACAGCCGGCAACCGAGGGTTGCCTGCCGCCGACTCGTTGGTAGTAGCAAACCGAGGGTCTGCATCTTCAAAATAGTCCGCTGAAGGAGTTCGAGTATGTTGTCGTGGCCCGTCATACGCATGGACAGGTGAGGGCGAGGGGCCGGTCCGCGGTTCTTCTGGAGCCCAACCGGCACGTGGAGGAACATATGATCTGAAATTTGTTAGCATCGAAGGATAGAGTTAGAGAGAATACACAGCTTACGCTGTCCGACTATAGAGGCTTGAAGGACTAATAGGTTCAGGATAGCCATCTGCTGATAGCGCATGTGGCTGAGGTTCGAGGTGCCCTTCATGCGATTCATGGGAGCCCATTCGTCGTGGTTGTGGTTGCATTTCGATGGCCTGGCCGATTGGGCTACCATGATCTGGAGATACTGCCATTCCAATTGGTCCAGGAGACGGTTGTCGAGCGACGGGCAGTGGGTGGTGATAGCCGTACTCATCTTCAGGCGGCGGGGTTGGTCGAGGAGCGGGCCCGGGCATGTACTCACCCGGAGGGGGTCCTCGATAGCCTCGTCCCATCATCCCGGGGTGTCCACCGCGCATGGGACCCATTGGGACACCGTTTGCACCCGGAGGAGGCGGTCCTCGAGGTGGTCCTCTGTAAGGCCCTCCACGGCCATAAGCCCCGCGCGGTGGATAACCACCTCGTCCGCGGGCAAACCCTGGCGGAGGGCGCCCTCTCCGCGAGCCAACACTGCCGTCGGAATACTGATTGCGCAAACGAGGATCGGATGGTGGAGCCTGTGGACCAGAGATACCAGCATCGTCAAGCGAGGAGTTGTAGGCCGCCATATCCCTCCGGACGCGGGTGAACTGACTATCGGGCATTGGAGGATCAGGTTGAACAGTCCGTGAGTTCAGTGGAGTACGGTCGTCATCACTGTCGTGTGTAGTCGTACGGAAAGTAGCAAATGTAGGGCCCGTCTCAGATGAAGGTGATGACCCAGTGATCACAGGTTCCTTTGTATCCATGTTCGCTGCCGCTGCCGCCGTCGCTGCGTTTTGGCGGTTGTAGAAGTTCTCCCCGCTCATTTCAGCATTTTCATTGATCCGCTTCTTCCTAGCCTTGCGGCTCACAAGTGTCCGACGCATTGCACATGTGACCACGCCGCAAGTGACAAGTAAAATGGTCGCAACTAAGACAATCCATCCTGCCCAGGCCATGTGCGGTACAAACAAGAGAATATCGACGAGGAAGGCGAGGAGTGACACAAGAAGGGTAGGAAGCAGTAGAATCAACAGGGCTAGTAAATAGCGGGGCGAGTGCGACGGTGCATGAAAATGAGCCGCTGCTGCCATACATAGACATACAAGTGTGAGGAAGGCCGCGACGGGATGGACGATCAGAATGGCTGAGAGCGATCGTCGGGTACCAGGTGCAATGCTGAATGTACCGTCTTCGGAAGTAATATCATCTGAACCAGAGTCAGCTGCGGTTTAATGTAGGAGTTTAGCGGTCTTGACGAGATTGAAATCGAAAGCACAAGAAGAGGGCGACGAACCGTCGGCGTAACCAACATGAATGCTGGTGCACACATCGCCTTTGCAGTATCCGAATACGCCATAATCAATATTATCATGTCTCGCAAGCGCAATGCTTTTGACGATAGGGGTGGAGATGACTGAGATGAGGAGAAGCGCAAATGCGATCAGGAGGAGGATGGTGAGGGGAGTGGCGGGTTTGAGCAGCATGGCGATTAAGGGAGCGGAGCGGCGCTGCGGCCGCGATAAGAAAGGTTGGCGGAGAGTCCAAGTGCGAACAAGAGGCAGCTCTGGCGAGCAGCCCTTGAAACTAACTATCTAGAATAGTGGGAAGAATAAGAGAGAATCTTCATTCGAGATAGGGAATCCGGGGGGGAGGGGAGGGATTGGAACCGAAAGAGAGGACCGAAAGAACGACTGGGTTGAGTTGGATGGTGAATGAACGGATGGCCTGGACTGCGAAAGGCTGTGAGATGATCGAAGGGGAAGATGGTCGGCATCAGCCGCTCGTGATTGGTGAGGGGCCGTCTGTTAGTCAGTAAGTCATTCTCCGCCACGGTGCAACTCTCAATCCCGTCCCTCCGTCAGTCACAATTCACTCTTCATTCTTTCTTGCCTTCCCATCATCATTCTATCCTGTTCCGTGCCGATCAGCTGCATCCTAGTTTTCTATTCACATTCATCTTGGTGGACTTTATTCCCTGATTTTAATCTTTCCATTTCTCTTCTATCCATTGACCTTGCTGTCTTTCTCGTCCTCCCGTCTCCTACCGTGGCTAAGCCGCCTATGCGCATCCACCAGCCTTGAAAAGCGCAGTAAGCAATGCCCCCCTGTTCCCACAAAAAGGTGTCTTTTGATTCGCTGGACCGCAGATAACGATAATGGGGCCGAGTCCCACGCACCACGAGTCCAACTTGTCTGAAATGACGATGGGCCCGTTTGACATCTCAAAAGCTCGGACGAACCACCCTATGCTGCGCAAACAAATTGGCTTAACTCCATAATCGGGATTTCTCTGGGGTTCTAAGCTACTAATAATAGACCCTTGACCAATTCTACGTAATGGCACATGCGTAACGACTACTGAACAAACCATCTACCAACGCACTTTCGCACACTTCGCAAGCCCAGGGGGGATGTCCCGTCTGACCCCATCTCCCGTCCAGGTACAATCTGGTTTTTCCCAAGCCTATCTGGTCACTTGTGCCGCAGACTTGTTTTAGCCAAGGACCGGTTGGATTTGGAATCAACTACCGCGGGGAGAGAAATTCGGATCCCCGAAGCATACCCACATAAAATAAACAAGCGAGATTTTAACGGACTGGACCCACGGAGGCAGCCATTGCATTCTTCCTAAGGCTCGCCGTAGGGATTTTCACTTGAATCGGATAATACGTCAGGGGCATACTCTGAAAATCTGCTGACAGGCACACATTCTTACCCTGACAGTATGTGCTGTTTCCCGTACACTGCATCGAAAATCAGCGGGACAATGAAACGGGCTTTACCCCCTGAAATTCCTTTGACGATCGGGTCTTACTTAGTACCTGCGAAGGCCCTTGACCTTGCACGCGAACATTGACCAACTAGCACACATACTTTCTTCAATCTTAGCTTTAGACCACTTTCTAAATAAATTGGGTTAGCACCCTGTCCGCCAAATGCCCTCTATTTCCGTTATCTTTGAGATAAGCTACGGAAAGCAATTAGGTAGCAACTTTCTGGATTATGTATACTTGACAACTCTAAACATAGTACACCTTCGGAGCTCCGAAACGTGAGTGGGGAATACGTATTAAGTTGCTCGACACTCAGACGTCTTGGCCATCGAGAAACAGTGGACCATAGTAGACTGTCGCAGAATGCCAGTTGTTTCGTGTCCAAAAAGATGGGATAAATTTTACATGGCTTTTAGGCAGGCCCCTCGCAGCTATCTTAGAATGAACTGAGTACTCCTGTCAAGTGTTTGAAATTCACCCGGTCAATTCAGTTTGAATCAACATCCTCCCCCCTAGTTTCCAACCAAACCAGCCTAAGGCCCCAACACTGCCAGTACCCACCAAGTCATAGCCGACCGCAAAAGGATAGAGCAGATCCTACAGTACAATACAGGGTTTCCGGATACTGGTGCCACCAGTCACACAGAGTATTTCTTAAATGTTCCAGCTGTGCCATTCACTAAGTACTGAACCTGAGGACGCGCATCTTTCAGCTAGAGCTGGAAGCCTTCATCCTGCAGCCCATCCTAGATTCTGGTTGCCCACTAACTTTCCAAAAGCTAGGAGTAGCTCCTGCCCATGCTCTTTATGTGCTGCTAGTTTCTCAATCAGATCATCAAGATCTGGTAGTCTCTTGTCGAAATCTTCCAGGCTCTGCCGTTTGATCTCATCCGCATAATTACCTCTATATGCTGTTGCTGCCTTGATCACATCTTCAGAGACTATTATGCTTCCTCGTCCACAATGTTCTAGGAGTTGTTCCATGATCATATGCCCATAAAATCCCCTATTTGCTGCTGCTTCCTTGATTACTTCTTCAGAGACCGGTAGGCTTTCTCCGCAGTGTTGCAGGAGTTTCTTAATGATCCTATACCCATAAAGTCCTTTATTTGCTGCTGCTGCCTTGACCACATCCTCAGTGACCGGTAGCTTTCCACAGTATTTCTGGAGTCGCTCCAGTACTATGAACCCCAAAAGTTTCTCATTTGCTGCTGCCGCCGCAACCACATTCTTAGAGACTAGTAGGCTGTCTCTACAGTGTTTCAGGAGCTGCTCCATGATTATAATCCCACAAATTTCTCCGTTTGTTAAATCTGTCCTGATTAATATATCGTGGTCTTGTCGGCCTATTCCATGACGTCGAATGATCTGGCATAGCTCCTTCATGAGAGTGCTGGGCCTATTTTGTTGCAGTATATGTATCATGATGCCTTCTGAGATGAGTGATATTTCTTGTAGTCTATTTTTCTTCTCAGATGCTTTCTCTTGGTAATGTGGTACCAAGTAGATGAGGTCATTTTGGTCGTCATATGCTTTAGTCTTTTCTCCATCAGCTGAGGATATGTCCCAAACCAAGACAATGTCGTTAAGAGAGCCTTTTGTAAGGAAATCCTTTGGGATAAAAACCCCATTAGACCTTTCTATATCGTCATGTGACTGAAGTGCTGTTGTGCTTACGACGACAGTGAAATAACCGCTGCAGAGTCTAACGATGATTGGACTTGAGGCTCCCTTTAATAGAAAGATAATATTACCTTTCTCAACTGACTCCGCAGAAACTCTAAGTCTCCACTTAGTGCCCCATTTTTCTTGGTAACCTAGTGAGTGAGCGGTTTCATTATAGTTTACCTCGATCTGTTGAAAGCCAGACTTGAGAATTCCCTTTTGAACATAGCCAACATAACCTAGAACCAATCCTTTTCCTTTGATCACAGCAACCGGTGACTCAGGCCATGTCTCCGCAGAGCATGAACTTGGGAATACATGCATAATGGCCTGCTTGAAGACCTCGTTCCATGGAAGATGATAGTTGGGCTTTAACCCGACTTCATCAGGATTTTCAACGCACAGGCCTAGCAAGGAGTATATTTTGTCGTGTAGCATACTTGCCTTGTGAAAGCGGTACATATCAAGCAATTCACCTAGAGCAAGTGTTCCATGTGAATCAATTTCAAAACTTGGTCGGAGATACGAGCCCTTGATCAGGTGAAGGACTGGGTAGATAAAGCTTGGCAACGGGACTCTGCAATTTTCGAGTCCTTCACAGAAAACATGCCCATTGATCTCCACGGACCCACAGAGGATAGAGATGCATCGGGCGACACCAACCTCCTGAAGTACCTAGAACAACTAGTTAGATTTGCATATATAGTTTACAGTATCGAATGCCTCTTACCCATGTACGTTTGAACCAATCGCGCTGTGATAATCTTGAACATAGATCCAATGACTCTTCACCCCATAGGCTTCTATCCCCGGCCAAGCGTTGAATTAATTTGAGTGCTTCATCACCATCCCGCATAGCTTCTCCAAGCCAGACAAGAACGCGATCAGCTTGTGCATAAATCGACCGCATAAGAGGGATCTGCTCGCTCTTCTCATCATCATCCGCTTGATTGATACTTATTGCGTCAATCCATATTGTTCTCTGCAGCTGATGGTTTCGCAGGTGTAATAAGGCTGTATAAAGGTTCCGTGTAACCTGAAAATCACACCCATTCACAGTTATTGTTTGAGTCTCGCTTTGGCTGCCCCATACGTAGGACAACGCCTCATAGAGATGCTTTCTACCAGTGCTCTCTGGCAGTACATAGGTGAAGAGCTCGCATCTTATGGGGGTATTGTCTTTCTCGGATGGTAGAAGACGGACGAGGCGGGTAGTATTCGGTCCGAGCTGAAGCTCGGAGTAGTTGAAGAGGACCATTCTCTCTCCACTTAAATGATGTACTTTGGGTTTACGTTTGTGTAGCAGTGAGTGTGGGGTATATCCGTTTTTGATTTTTGTTTAGTAAGATACACCAGATGGGTTTAGAACTAAAAGGTGAGATTTATGGGTGTTGTAGCATCCAACCATGCTCGATCGGGTTTATAGGAAAGTATACTTACCCCTCATTGTTACTAAATTTAATGAGTTGGCATACATGACGTGGCCAGGATCAACATCGACTCGGATAATGATGGCCCGATTGAATGTCTCATAGGACCATAGTACCTGGATGGCCATTTCCAAGGATAATAAGATTAAACAAGACACTTATACAAATTTCAGCTTACGCATAATTCCTCTAATAGTTCCCCTCCACACGCAATATTCCTAACCTGGTCCCCTTACTAAAATAGCAGTAGTTATACTACTCCACTGTTGTTCGTATAGTAAAGTATATCTAACAAGATTTCTAGTTCAGAATTCTAGTTCAGAATTCTAATACCTGCATTATCTACCTGCCTACCTGATTTGTATAAAGAAATATTACAAAGTATATAAATACTAATACATCTATATAATCCTGCTGCTTTAATATGATATATATATATATATGTATGTATGTATGTATGCTGAGCCATATAAGTCATCCCTGCTGCTTTGTAGACGACGCTATATCGTTTTAGACTACCTTGTTATGACAATATATGTATATAGCAGCAAAATATTTGATTCCTGTACCTAGATGACTTTCTGAGATATACATCTACACGTAATATTCAAAGACCCCTACAGCATAGTTAATCAGATATCAACATTAAATTTAGAAGATACTGTATTCAAACCTTTGTAAAGAAGCTTTTTGCGTATCTACACGGGGAAAGATAAGATTGAGAAGGAGAATTGTATGTACATACCCAAAGAGGCAAGGGACCATTTGAAAATATTAGGCATTTCTGCTTATTTACGGAGTAGACTGTTTCCAAATCCGAACTAGGACCAGGCTATACCTACACTATCGTATTCGTATTCTCACTGAAACTGAACGCACAGATCTCATAACACAAGTAGCTAGAATATGTACTCGTCTCGGATATATACATTGCACCAACTGCATCCACCCACCGGCCTAGCCGAATTATTACTTGCAGATGACTGTAGTCTAGTAAATAACAGTCATCAACACACATTCTCCACATGCAAAAACACCCCCGGCAATCCAGACCCTTTACAAACGGCCAGATGATCCGACACCCGGACCACCGCCTGTCGCACAGAAACGGTTAGTCCTATGGGTCCGCAAACAGCAACAGCTATTTCGCCTCTAGCTTGCAAGACGGCGTCCTCGATGTAACCGTCGAACGAAGGTCTTCCCTGCGCGAAGGAGATTCTTGGAGGGCCCGAGGTTTCGAGAGCCGAATCGGGGTCCGTGCAGGGTGAAGAAGGGGCTATTTGTTCGATTTTGTCGACGTCATCACTGTTGTTAGAGCAGGTGCAGGGATTTGTGCAGGCACAGGTCTGTTTTTCATTGTTGATTTTGCTGTTGGTGTCTGGGAGGCAAACAGAGTCCTGTGTTATGAATATTTTCACCCGGATCTGGATATTTGTGTTCTGTAGCTTCTGCATTGCGCCTTCAAGCTCGGCCAGAACCCATGACGCTTGGCGGCTTTCCTTGATTACCCAGATGAAGAGGACTTGGCGGAGAGGCAATGGCCCGTTTGTGTAACGGTGTGCGACGTGGAGAAGCTGGGATAGGGTGAATGTCACACCTGTACCACCTGCGAGAAACAGGACGGAATCGAAAGATGTGAAGTCTGGAGCAGAGCTTGCGTAGGGACCATCGAGTAGAGCGGTGTATGAACGCTTGGTTTGTGGGGATTCAACGTCTTTGGAGCAGTTGCTGGTGGCTTCTGCGGTGTTGATCAGCTTTCGCGTGAAGCCCTTGTGGGCTCTTAGAATAAGGACTAGTTCGCCGTCGTGGGACGATGGTATGGATGAGATGGTTGCTGGATGTGAGAGCTGGAGCCCTAAGCGCGGGAGAGATAGAAGGATGTGCGACCCGGGCTTCCAGTTACGGATCTTGCGAGCAGTAATTCGGACCTTGGTAGAACCGCCTTCCAAGGGTTCTAGTATGGCTCGTGCGGGGCGAGAGTTGACATAGCTGTAATAAACAAATCGCAGGATCAAACCAGCGACGTAGATATTGGCGGTGACGTAGACGTAGCGCTGAGCGTTAGGGGCTGGGCTGGTGTCTAGATGATATGAGAGGGCGATGATGAAGCCGAAGAACGTGATGATGTGTTGTACGACGAAGAACTCATAGCTCATATGTCGGAAGGGGGCTAACGTTGTGAGATTCATCCATAGGATGAAAGCGTAGGCAGCGATACCCTTTGTGGGACAGTCATCCGTGTCCCACTCCAGTCTACTTATATGATAAACATCCCACCCATGGTTTTGAAAGGCGAAATGGAAAGTCGAGAGCAGCAGAAGCCCTCGAGATACCCAGCGATGATAAATGTTCAGTCGGACATAGGGTATGCCGCAGAGCATACCAATCAGGTTTCTTTTACCTGCCAAGGCTACAAGGAGGGGAATCTGGGCCGCTGCAAGCCATCCAGCGCGGACTCCGAGAAACTGCCAGTACCCAGCGCCTGCAACATCGTTGTTGACAAACTCCAGAACGATGATGAAGATAAAGTATATGAGGATGATATATATCGGTCCGAGTGGCGGGATCTTGAACCAAGGTGACACCGCACGGGGGGTCCACTGGAGATAAGATGGCTCCCGAGCCAGCGCTGTGGTAGTTGCGAGTGTGGTCGATGTAATATTGGCAAGGTAAGACTTGTAAGTTATGCTTGGATAGAACCTTTCCGCGACGCCGGATTATTAGCATCATATCCGAACCAAGTCACTGGAATATCTCAGTATGCTTACTCACCTCAAACGTTGAACAAGTGGGTACATCCTGTTGATGACCGCCACCACGACCAGTAGAACAATAACCCCATACCAGAAATACTCCGCATAGAGTGCCCCTAGAATAGGAAGATACTCCAGGTGCTTGAGCTCATGCAGAAATGTCTCGACCTGGGTGATATTGGCAAAGTCAACGTCGGAGGCGTGCAAGACACCATAGTACGTCCCCCCGCTCATACCCTCCATCTGCATTTTGGCAAACGAGTCACCGAGACTGTGACAAGAATCAATTCACAATCTTTGGTGCAGAGGCAGTTGCCCGACCATGTTCTTACTTATACGGCAGAGGGTTCTACTGGATGATGTATCATATACCCGCCCCACCTTCGGAGCTTAGCCTTTCTAGCGCCGATTACGCCTTGTCGATATCGTAATAATCTGCTCAAAGCACAGTTTTCTTCCACCCTATGAGATTGTTCTACGAAGCACATTTTGATGAGGACGCAATCCTACTTATTGTGGTGGCGTGGCCAAGCTGTACAATATATGCTCTCTGATTTGTTCATAACATGCAAAATTGTGAAGTTGATGTACTTTCCGGGAAAGATAAGAACCGTACAGTCAGGCAAGTGAAGTCCGTGCGAAGAGGCAGCTGGAAGCATCCATACACCGATCGCTATTAGCTATTCCATAATAAGGATCCTTGAATCACGTTTTCAATGATTGGGGTATCTATCGCTTCTCTTCTATACAATGAGGGTCCGGCTGTATGTTAATAGTCACAGAGACTTCGTCATTTACTGAGGATGCCAGCCTCACAAATGAAGCTGCATCAAGGTGGTCTGCTCCTTCAAAGAACCGGAAGGTATAGCTCTCAGTATATGGTTTCAGCGCATTATGCTGTTTAAGTAGCCCGGCATGCCGTCCTAAATCAAGGCGAACCTGCCCCTTTATCCTGGGGTCGTTATGTGACCGATACCATTGAATAAAGTTCATCGCAGAAGGTAAGCCTCGCGTCTGTTCTTTTGAACGCTTCAAGAGAAACACTCTCCAGAGAGGGCATGGAAGTGCGCTCTTTGACTAATCCCACAATATCTAGGAGTGATTCAGTGATTAGATGGAAATTGATGTCGGTGATCCTGAGTGTCTTGAGTGAGGCAGGAAAATTGCTAATGAAGGATTTTGAATACTCGTATGTGGGTTGGTCTGGAAGCCCTTGGCGTGAATAGTCGGTGACTGTTATATTAGGCGGTTCACAGTCCACCTGACTTATCACAAGATTAAGACGCTCGAGATTAGTCGATGCTCTGAACCTTTGGATGATTTCGTTGCAATATTCTGACGGCCAAACAGTAACCTCTTTGACTGGACAATTTGTGATCCTGAATTTGTCGTAACGTAGGCACTTTTCGAGATCTTGTTCATAATCCCAATAGTCAAAATGTCCGCACACACTGACATGGTTGAGAGCCGGAAAACAGAGCGAATACAGTATATGCTGTAAAGTAAGCAGTGTTTGTGCTGAGATCTGCCTGCGGTTTTGGAAGGAAGATATCTTTGAGACGTTAAAATGGAGCAGCGTGGAATGGTGTTTGTGGACGAAAAGCTGCTGGTCGCCAAATTCTTGCTAGGTACGTCTCTGTCAGATCTAAAAAATAATAGTTCTCAAGAGTGACCTTCAAAGTGGTTAGACGAGTCAATTTAATGAGCGTTGCGCCAGCCTATGCGTCTTTAGATGAGCTCTCCAGACCATCCCACCACACCCATTCATCACATCCCAGTTCACATAATGCAGCCACAAGTTCATCAATGAAGGGCTTATACTCTTTGCGCCGCCTTGGGGGGAGTTCATCCTTGCCGTAGTCGTCGTACCCCCGAATCCTGAAAGCGAAGTGATGGACAAGACTCGCCAACTCAAGGCGAAGAGCACAGTCGTCGAATGAGATCAAACTGGACGGGTGTCCAGATGCTTAGTAGGGTGATGGAGGAATAGAGACGTGGTGTAAACAGCGTGTGGAATTCGACAGAGCTTTCAGTTAAAGCCCTTTGAGTGGGCTTGTCATCTACGAGGGTCCCGATCATCTCGAGAATTTCAGTTGGCAAGCGATCCATCTTGTCGGACTCGAATGACTCGGTGTCTCATGCGAATACAGCCTGCTGAGACATGCTAGAAAGTTCAAGTTGCGCTGTTATATCTCAGGGAAACAAATCATCAACTGACGTGACTGTCAACGAATTGCAGATGGAAGTTACCCCATGTTAAGCTAGTGGAAATGTAGCCATCCTCCTCAATTGTGACCGAACGGCTTGCGAGATGGCAACTTCCTTTAGCCACGGCGAGCTCCGTTTGCAGGCTACTTGAGGCAGGAGCCATTTTCCAGGTCGCAAGGCTTCCCCATCATGTTTTCGACTGGCTCGGAGCATCCAACTAGTGTAGCTTACGTCTGATGGGTTATAATTATGGTGCGTCAGAAATAATCAACTACCGGAATCTACCAAGTCCAGGCTTTTCGCTGTTATGCTTGTTTACAATCGACACGCCAGCTGCGGAGTTCTAGGGCTTGAACTTAGGTTACCCAGCTATGAAGACTCCAGCCCTACGTTTTATCGCACGTAGCGGCAGGCTGGCCAGCTCTCCGACCTCTCCGAAAACAGAATATAGGGATTCGACTCTAGTGAAACTGCGCGTTACATTGGCATTTAAAGGCCGAGCTTCATCCGGACCGGTCGCCAGGAAGCCACAATTCAGTTTGTAAACAAGTTATATGTAAGGAAACTATTTTATCTTGGTCTAGTGGATAGTTGATGGTGAGATTGTAGTCTCTAGCAGAGTCGTAAGGGGCAAGAGTAGGAAATCCACCCCACCCCTTGCACACGATCAGGAAATCTTTGACGACACCGTCGAGTTCTCGGGATCTTTCTCCGCTACTGAATTGTTGGATTTGAGATTAAAAGATCGATAGAGAATTTATTGTCTCAAGTGCGATGAATATACGAAATATCGTATTTACAGCATGCACTGTCGCCTATTAGCCAATGGCCAGGAACGTTCGTAGGAGATGTGAAGGTGGGCACTGCTAGTCAGTTATGTTTGTGGGGTAGTAAATCAAATGACGAGGCGTGGACAGCGTAAGCCAGGCCATCTTGGCTTATGAAGGTTTGAAGAATCCCAATCCAAGCCAGGATGGAAGATGAGCATTCATGTACAGCAGACCACCAGCCGACACACTCACGTGACCGACACGTCCATAACTCGGGCCCTGCCATCAAGGGTCTACGTGTTTCCCTCCAAGGTTGCGGGTCGGCATGTGTTCTGCGGCATGCTGTCTCTCATCCGGTACCTTCCAAGCCTCCCGCCGAGCTGTCTGCAATGATCAGCAGACCACCAGATTACTACTTACTATACGTGTGACACCGCGGATGTTAACATGACTGTTTGTCTCGTTCCTCCATTCTGCGCCTCAAGTCCTTTTCCTGTCATAATTTAATTTCAAAATTTTAATGGTTTAGCTATATCCCACATCTCGCATCACAATGCGACAGAGCGGATTTGCCTGCCCGTCGGAAAGGGGTAATGTCCACATTGAACCTTCTCCTCCGAGTGGATCTGGGCCAAGCGGAAAGGAGGAAAGTTAAAGGAAGCAAAAAAAGCAAAACATCTGTACCGACCACATAATTTGTCAAACTTGAAATATTGTCTTGTACCATACGCAGTGCCTTCCATTCCCTGAATTGGACCCAATCCCCAAGTATGCGGATTCTATGGCGGCGGGGATTGACGGGGCCTGCCATGCCTCGGCCCTGTCCTGGTATGCAGGTGCAGGCTGGACAAGTCTTCGAGCTCATAACCATGAATGGTTTCATTTAAGTCCGGCCATCGCCTCTTGTATTCATCGTCCTGAATCAGGCTACCGACCTGGGCCATTTGTTCTTCCTCTCGCTCAGGTCCTGTCAGACTGTTCCGATCCTAACGAGACAGTATACGGCCTGTTCGTTCGGATTGAATGGATTTGCTTCCTGTCGAGCCTTGATTTCTGTTGTGTAATTTCCCCTACACCACCCTCAAAAGGTCTCAATCATGGGCTTCCCTACCGTCTCCGTTCTTGTAACTATATTATGCATCTTTTCACTTCAAGTATGGGCAGTGCCCCATGGAGGGTCGAGGAATAGCTCAGCCTCCCGTGTTATGTCGCCGTTGCAGCATTTTCCTCCAATTAATTACCAACCCAAGCCCTCGTGAGTCTTGTATTTTCCACTTTATCTCATATCACATGTCTACAAGTGCTGACTGAAATAGCGGAATTCCTTACACGATAAAGAACCAATCTGCTCAACCATGGCTTTATCGAACAACCGCCCCCATAACTCATTCTGCACTGGCGGAAGAAGATTCTCTATGCCCGTCATCCAGTAACTCGTCTGGGTACTGGTATGAACAGATTGATCATAATGGACAGTCATCCTTTATGGATTCGAAGTACAAAGACAACTATACTGTCTTCCGCAACGTCGTCAAGGATTTTGGCGCGGACAATACTGGACAGAAGGACGCAGCAGCAGCTATCTCAGCTGCAATCAAAGGTATGGTTGAGTCGATCAATCACTTTAAGCATTTTCTAAGACCGAACATCACATAGCTGGACCATCAAATGGACCTGACCGCAGTTCCAATTCCATGGGTACTACTGGACAACCTGCTATCATCTACTTGCCAGCAGGAACGTATCTTATGAAGTCATCTCTGCAGTTGTACCTTGGGACTGTCATTATAGGTGACCCCACGAACCCTCCAGTTCTCAAAGCATCATCAGATTTCGCGGACGATCATATCATCTACGCCAAGGATCCCAACTTTGGGGGTACGATCAATTTTTACCTCGGAATTAAGAACATTATCATCGACTCGACCGGGGTCGGGGCTGATAAATCCATCACTCTTCTTGATTGGACCGTTAGCCAGGCGACTCAGCTCACCAATGTCGGGTTCAATATGCCTACAAACAGTGCCAAGCACGTCGGCCTAACTACACAATACGACTACAACAGTAACTTGATTCTGGTAACTGGGCTCCCTACGGTTATGATGGCGTAGCGCTGACAGCTTGCAGAATGACCTTTGGTTCAAAGGCGGCGCAACCGGCATGAAGTTGAGTGGCCAACAATGGGTATTCAAGAACATCTCATTCAGTGGTACCACTACTGGCGTTCAGGCTGGAGGGACCGATATTGTTTTCTTGGGCTGTCGCTTCGAACAGGGTACCCTGGGAATTGACGCGCAAGGCACATCCGGGTCTCTAACCGTCGTCGATACTACCGGTGTTGGCATGGGTACTCTTATTTCGTCATCTAGTTCGAACACTGCAGGAAATTCTATTGTCCTAGACAATGTGCAGAATTCAGGCGCCACGGTGAAGATAGGAGGACAAACCACGTTGAGCGGGAATGTTGCCAACACTTGGGTACATGGACATTTGGTAAGTTAATGCAGTGCGCCCCCCTCGACCAAGGAAGGCAGGTTGATCTGACTCAAACATTAGTATACTTCCAACAATGCCAAATTCCAGTCACAACAGGGCCAGACAGTTACTACATCCCGCTCCTCATCGCTTTTGTCAGGGAAAAACTATTTTACCATGGCGCCGCCGACGTATAAAGAGTATAGCACTGGGCAGGTCCTGAATATCAAAAATGTTCCTGGGATCCCGGTTTATGGGGACGGTGAGACGGATGATACTCGGAACATTAACCTCATTTTGTCCCGCTACAAGACATCTTGCTCGCTCATGTATTTTCCCGCCGGGACGTACATTGTTACGGATACGATTTTCGTGCCCGCTGGTACCCGAATTATCGGTGATGCATATGCCTCGACGATCAGTGCCGTCGGAAGCAACTTTGAAGATGAGTCTGCTCCTCGCGCCATGATTTTGGTAGGATATCCGGGAGATGTGGGTGTTGCGCAATTTAGTGACATGGTGTTCACTGTGGCAGATGTTCTGCCGGGCTGCAAGTTGGTAAGACATGATCTCTCTTGGGTCTCTGTATGACGGTCGCTAATATGTCCTTCTGCTGTAGGTTGAGGTCAACATCGCTGCCAGGTCGCCTGGGGACGTTGGCTTCTGGAACTCGCATTTCCGCATTGGTGGAGCGGCGGGTAGCCAAGTGGAGAGTTTATGTACAGACGACCCCAATGACTGCAAGGCAGCCTGGGGGCTCCTCCACCTAACCAGTACATCATCTGCCTACATTGAGAACATGTGGGGATGGACAGCCGATCACGATCTCGATGGGGACAACCCGCAAACCATCTCCACCGGCCGTGGGCTACTAGTGGAAGGTACAGCCGCGACCTGGCTCATTGGTACAGGATCCGAGCACAATACACTCTACCAGTACAACTTTCAGTATGCCCGGAACGTCTTCACTGCAATGCAGCAGAGTGAAACACCATATTGGCAGGGAGCAGGGAGCCGCGCTCTCAACCCAGCCCCATGGCAGTATCTCGACAGCAGTGATCCAGACTTCAGCAACTGCGCTGCCAATGATAGCAAATGTCGCATGGCATTGTTTGAACGCATTTATGGCTCGTCCGACCTCTTCCTCTACGGTGGCTGCAACTGGGTCTTTTTCAACAACAACGGTGATTGCAGCGGTGACTGCCAGACCAATGCGATTGACATAGCCAATTCAACCTCCATATACTTATATGGAACAAATACGAAAAGCACGACCAATATGATTCTTGAAGGAACCAAGGTCATTGCGACTCAGAGTGACAATGCTGGCGGTTGGGGAGGAGTCATTGCCGGATATCTGTATGATTCATAACGGCAATGACTGGGGTACATATGAGTATTATTCCTATCCATAGTACTAATATTTAGTGATAGACTGGAGCACATGATATTTACTAATACAATGAACGCAAATAGTTGCATTGTCCTGGGATTTGCATGGTTTGAACATTATAACATTCAAAGTAGATTCCTAGGTTGCGTGGGAGAAATATATATATATATATTCCCTCTCCATAGAGTCCGGAGTCCACATGCATTTGTGATATTAGCAGGACTCCACAGTATTCCCAATCACACATTTGTTATCTAAATAAATAAACAACTTGGACCCCCTGGAAAACAACCTTTTCACTATCACAATGTGAAGTGATGTGAACCGTGGGTGGGAAACAAAGGGTCTGAGTGGATCGGGCCGCAACCTAGGATCGGGCGGTGGCTCTCAATCCAAGGCGATCCATTCATCAAGGGCCAACTCAACCCCCGTCACACATCCTTAGTCTCCCTGACAGATTGAACATCATGTCTCGTCGACAAAAACCCTCCAATCAGTGATGACCATGTCGATGATCCCAAGGGCTAAACAGGCACTAATGCCCTGTGCTGTCCGATCGGCCCTTTGCTCCTCGGGCCCAGCCACCACAGCCCGAGGAGGCTGGGAGACATGGTCGGCCGTATAACCAACCCCCCCCAAACTGTGATACCAGCCCAATTCAGCATCGTCCCTTGCCTTTTTGTTTGCTGCACTTGCCTCTTATTACCTCGTGGGCAGGTACAGGGTCTGCATCTGGGGGAATGTTCATCGGACACATCCACAATCCGCACTGCAAGTGAGCTGTTCACCGCATACATTCCTCGGTTGCATTTCGGCCGCCGCCATGCTCGCTCCGGGCTCTGGGAATGTGAGTCTCAGAACTGTCAGTTGTAAGTTTACTCTGCATAACCTTGGCACCCAGCCAAGGAATAAAGCATGATGCGTCTTCGAAATCAGGCTGATCGATGACTGATTCCCTCACAGCTAGTAGACCACAATTAATGCACACCCAGTCTCAACAGTCGATCGCCGCCTCCGACGACTACTACTCCTTCTCAAGCCCTTCCTCCAGTGCAAGATCCCGAGCCAGCGGCAGTCGACTTACCGTGGCGCGGTATGCGACTCCAAACTCTCATCCTCCGTCTCGAACACCGTCTCCTAGCATCTCTCGAACGAATCTGGCCCCGCAGCCCGCTGGTGCACGATCGGAGCATTCTTTGAACGTCCCGAGCGAGAACAGGAATTTTGTTACACCCCCTTCTCAAACCATACGTGCAGTCGAAGAGGAAGACTCTGAGCCCAGCCCCATGTCAGATACCACGAGTCGCCGGGAACCCAGTGACAGCTATGCGGGGCGGCCTCCTACTCCTGGGGTGGATGACTCGCCATACATTCATTTCGCCATCAGTCAACTTACGCGTGACGAGGAAGTTGCTGGGCCCAGACGGCGAAGTTCGCTCGCTAGTAATGACAGTCCTCTCGAGCCACTGCTCTGGGATGAAGGATTGGGCTGCTTCATTCGCTCGCCTGGTCAATCGGCAACACCACCAGCACGGCCACCGCAACAATCATCCGACTCTATTGGGAGGGCTCCTCAAAGCTCGGTAGATCCAGAATCGTTTGTCGCCGTTGAACCCCCGCATGACAGTCTATTGTATCCGCCATTGGACTATGTGCCTACAGTCTTGCGGTCATGGGCACTGGTTGCCATAATCATCTGTTGCCTGCTAATGATTGCTGGAATAAGCTTCTGCAATGTATGGTCGCGGCGGCATGATGGGCTCTGGGACTATACTGGACTAGGCGGCTCGCATTACTTTGTGATGCAATTCCTACCCCAAATTTTGGGGATGATCATCACTATCTGGACGTTTGTGATCCAAGCGGCAGTGTATAGAATCATGCCGTTTGCCATCATGGCTTCAGAGCGGCCGCTTGGTCATGTCCTCCAGAGCCTGCCTATCTTATCACGAAACTTTCTGGTCCCGGACTTCTCCTACTTTCGGCATGGCGAGGGAATAGTTGGTTTCACTTTGTTCACCATGTGGCTGTCGAATTTGATCACCCTACCACTGTTGAGTTGCCTCTTCCAGGCTAAGTGGTACTTGATCGATGGACAGGGGACGTGGCGGTGGGCCTCAGTTTCGGCGGTTGGCTGGACCCTCGTGGCCGTCTATGCGTTGTTGGCCATTGGCCTGCTCCTTCTCATGTTTCGTTTCGTACGCACATGGTCGGGATTGATGTGGGACCCTGTGAGTTTGGCCGATCTAATCTCAATTATCCAGCGATCGAACATCTTGCACGACTTTGAACAATCCGAGACATTGCCAGATGTAGGCGAATCGCTCGACCCGCGGTTCTTGCGATTGGGCTACTGGAAACTATCAAACCGTGCGGATATATTCTACGGAATCGGTGAGGTAGATGCACCAGTTCGGACACCATCATTGCACCGCAAGGAGAAGAATCTTCAGATGCAGTCACACGGCCTGTCAAGGGTATCATTTGACGTTGAGCAGCATGGCCTCGCAGAGAAGGAAGAGTACTATCAGCATCTGTATTCGCCAGCTATTCGCTATCGTTGGATCCCATGGTTTCTTCGCGATGGCTTTGTCGTTCTATGGACGATTCTAATCTGCGCATTGTTTATTGCATTCGTGTTGGTCAGCTTCATCCACAATGCGATTAAAGACGGATTTCCTCCACGTTTGCCAACCCTGCCGTCTACTGGTGCATTTTCCTCTTCCAACTTCTGCTACAGTTTCGTTCCTGCCTTCATTGGAAATGTCCTCTTCCTGGCATGGCAGCCAATCGATGTCTATTTCCGTGCGCTGCAGCCGTTTGCAGCTCTAGCTTCTCCGACCGGTGCTCGAGCCGAGCAGAGTCTCTTATTGTCTTACACGTCGTGCTTTCCCTTGCAGGTGACACTCGCCGCAATTTTAAACAAGCACTACAAGGTGGCCTGGATCTCATTCGTGAGTACGATGTGCGCGGCCATTCCTATCTTGGCCGGAGGGATGTTTATCGCCCTGTACCACCCGTCTGATGGGACGATCTTGATCTCTGCTCTGATGCCTGCGTTCTATGCCATCGTGGCTTTCTGTGCACTCTACATGGTGTCTTTCCTGTGCATTTGGCCCCGTCGCTGCCGCCGCTTGCCACATGACATTAGCACTTTGGCTGATCAGATGAGCTTTTTATACCAAAGCCCATTGCTCGCAGACAAGATCCTGCGCGAGCCTAGAAGCAAGGCGGATCTGGTCACCCGACTGGTCGTTGCCCCTCCTGGCGACCGAGAGCATTCCATGTACGGCTTTGGAATCTATGTGGGCCGGGATGGCAAGGAACATCTCGGAATCGATCGTTTCGACCGTCCTGGCCGGGCCGATATGTTAATCACTACCGGCTATTCACGATAGGATGCTATTGAGGTGTCCTGAGAAAAGTGTTCTTGTACGATGACTGGGTGGTTGTCTGCTGCCTGATTGCATATATGCGGCTTTAGCCGCAGATCTTTATGTTTGCGATGAATTATGCGTTATGAACATACCCTTCGACTTTTTTCAAGATGACGCCTATTAATGATAATACGGTATAGCGATGTACTTATGATTAGATGATGATGTTTCATGATATATGTTGTCTTTCTTTGCTTTCTGGGAATTGTGAGCTTTTTACGATGGGATTTGTACTTGATATCCTCAACAGCGTTGGTGGGCGATGTGCCCCTTTACATGATTAAATGACCTTCACATTAGCAAGACTTTCACTTCTATATGCTTATGTCTAATTGTGTAGCATTCAATGCACGACTATGCGAACAGCAAAAATCCTATAGTTATCGACCGATAAGATAAGCTGACTCATGCGCCACGTGAGCGACGATAAGGCGATCGGCTGACACCTGACAGGCCCGATTTCCTGACGGCTTTGGTCCCGCAACGCTGGATCTGTGCGACAACTAATGAACATGCAAGCCCTGGCAGCCAGACAATCCAGTGGATCGGCCATCAAACTATGGGCTTGCTAGGAACCGTTCCAGAAGTGCTAGTACTTGTGCTTGTGTGGAACCACTATCCGAACCCGACTGCATACACCAACGATTAGTCTGAGACCAATCCTGCCGCCTGATCGGAAAAGCAATTTACATCATGGTATACGGCGGGAAGCCAAGCACGGGGTGCCAGAACTGTCGGAAACGGCGCATCAAGGTATGCTCCCGCAACCATCTTGTTATATATTGCTAATAATGTAGTGCGATGAAGCTCGTCCACACTGCAGAGCGTGTGTTCGGACAGGCCGGACATGTCCTGGCTATCCGCACCCTTTTGATGTCATGTTAAGAGACCAAGTAGCGTTCCACCGCAAGAAGCGAGACACGTCTAGTAGAGTGTCTTCTCCTAAAATGGGAGTGAAATCCGTTCGGTCTTCGCCTGCTCCGGTGTCATCCAACGATGCTTTGATTAGCACCAACTCTAGCGCAGATCTTCCGCAGACCGGACCACTACTGCGCACTGCGCTGGAGGAGGTCCCAAGGGCGCTGGTTTTGCCGACTGATGATACTGTGACTACGATGTTCTTCAATTCGTACATCTACTCGCCTCGAGATCCATTAATCCTACGCGGGTTCATGGACATCTTGCCTGATGTTTTCTGCTATACTCAGCCTGGCTCTCATTTACATGTGGGCACTTTGGCCGTGTCGTACTTCTCTGTGGCTGCTTGGACGGGGAATCGGTCTTTTCTGCAGACAGCGCAGCAGTTGTTTGTCAAGGCTATCGCCAAGACGAGGGAAGCGTTACAGGGTGACATTACTCACACTGTGGATGATGTTTTGATGAGCATCCTTCTCTTATCTACTTATGAGGTATGTCGGTAAATGGCGTTCTGTGATGATAGCTAATATGACGATAGGAATTCTGCGCTATCAAAGAAAACAGACATCCAAGGAGGACGCATCTACGAGGCGCTGTCGCTCTCGTAAACAGCAAGCGGCCGGAGCAGCGATCTTCGATTATATCGCTGATCTTAGAGAATGCGGTCCAGGTCCAGCTGGTATGTATTGTAGCCTTTCAGCCAGCCATACACTAACCAAAGCAGATCAAATCATCCAAAGGCCTAGCCTATCCCACTATGCAGACGCCAAACCAATGGCCCCTATCTCCAGCAGCACCACAATCAGCATCATCCCAGCTCCTAATGATCACCTCTGAGCTAGTCGGTCTCCGCCAAGCATGGGATAGATTCAACGAAGAAGGCACAAACCAAGTCCAGGACATCCACGACATCCTTGCACGGGCTTACAGCTTAGATGCGAATCTCGAAGCCTGGAAATACGCACTCCCTGAACACTGGAAACCACTCCCTGCGGTCCGAGTCCCCCAGTCTGTCCGGGAAGCCGGCATGTACAAAAACCGCTGCGACTGCTACACCGACCTCTGGATGGCCGGAACATGGAACTTCTACCGGGATTCTCGGATTGTCGTGCAAAACATCATACTCCGCTGTCTGCAGATTCTACCCGATGGTGTGATGCTGGAGCAAATACAGGAGACTATCAACCTGATTGAGACTCTCGCTCTTGACATCTGCGCTACTGTGCCGTACATTCTTGGCAGCCAGACGATGTCAGTTCATTTTAGTCCACAGAAGATCGAGTACCCAGAAGCCGACGGACGGCGAGTCACAACGCCTCATTATCCGACTGCTGCGCTCGTGGGTGGATGGATGGTATCGTCTCACTTGTCTAACTTGGAATTGTTATGTCTGAGTGAGGAGATGAATACATGGATTCGGGCGCAGAAGGAGCGCGTACTGCAGATATATACATTTGGGGGAGAGGGGAGTCAAATAAGTATGTAATATATATAGCCATCATATAAGCAATTCCGATTCACAAAAATTCAAATAATTTCTATTTCCTTATGTACAATTCAAAGATGGTCTAGACTTGGATAAGATCACATGACCGTGACTTTCCCGATTGGTCATCCATCTCCGCAGAATCTCCAATGGCAGACAGTCAGACTCATCATTACCTCTACAGGACAAACCAACACTTCTCTCAAACCCCATTACTTTATACCATTGTACCTCCGATCTCCTCTACAAACCACAATTGTCACCACACCCACAGCCACAACAACCGCAACGCCCACCTCAGCATACAACCACCACCATCACCACCACCACCACCAACCAACCAAAATGCTCTTCTCCTCTCTCTTCTCCTCCACGCCCTCCAATCCAGACCCCCAAACCACACCTACCGAACCCCCCTCCCCCAATCCCAACCTTCCTCCACCCCACAAACACCAACATCAACATCAAAATCAACAACCCGCTCCCCCTCCGACGAATTCAACCCCCCCCTCCCCGCCCTCTGGACCCCCAAAACCAACCTTAAACTCCTCCTGGGCGGCCTCGCCTTCTTCACATTCAGCATCTACAGCACGCGGCGGGCCATGAACCGGAAATTCCTCGCCAGTATCCCACCATACTACACGAGCAGCGTGTACCACAAGCCGAACGTCAGCGGCGGGGCGGAGGCATTCGAGGCGCTGCATCTGGCGACGATGAACGTGCTGTCGTTCGGGATGATGAGTGCCGGGGGGCTTTTGTACGCGCTGGATATTAATGGGGTGGAGGATATGAGGAGGTTCGTGAGGAAGGGCATGGTGGAGGGGGATGGGGCGTTGATGCGCGGGGAGGATAAGGAGTTGGAGAGGGAGGTGGAGGGGTGGGTTGAGAAGGTGCTTGGGGAGAAGTTTGGGAAGGAGTTGCAGAGGGAGAAGGAGAGGAGTGCTGCCGCGGCGGCGGCTGCTGCTGGTGCTGGTGCCGCTGGGACGGAGAAGAAGGAGTGAGGGCGTTTATGAAATGGATGGGGGTGGATATGATGGAAGATAGATACCCTGGTTTTGATGATGATCTCTACTCTTTTTTTTTTTGTTTGTTCTGGGATGGGTGGATACTTGTATTATATTGCATTGCGTGCATAAACGGGTGTCAGGATTAACTACTGTACATGCTATCGGTCTAGCTGCTCGTATCGTTCTCGTGCTGTTTGCTTCGTCTTCTCCAGGAATTCGTCGTACCGGTTGCGCGTGTTGCGCCCGGCTTCTTCGGTTGCGTCTCCTAGTTTGCTGCCTTGCGCTCCTAGGCCTACGCCCTGGGCGTAAACCTCTGTGGCTATCGGCGCGGTCATGCCGGTGCCTTGGGCGCCCAAGCCGGCGCCGGTCCATCCCATCTTGCTGAGCAGAGATGCTCCCTTTGATGTGGTCTGCACTGGGGGCTCCTCTTCCTTTGGCGGGGGCGGAGCGGGTCGGTTCTTCCCTGAGGGCTTGGAGCCGAACGCCTTGCGCCGCTCTCGTGCGCGGTCACGATACTCAGTTGGTGCTGGGATGATTCCGTGCTTGATGAGTTTGCCTGTCGCCTTGGCTACCAGTTCTTCGTCCTGTAGATTTCCACGATGGAGCTGACTGAGCCGCTCGTGCCGATTGACTTCTGCCGATGATTTGAACTGGCGCATGCACAAGTAGCAGCAATTACGGTCGGGATCGGCATAAGACTGGGATGGTGGAGCGGTTGCTTCGGACGGGGAGACTCCGCGGTCCGAGCCATGCTCTGTGCCTTTTTCGTCCGCGTCCTTCTTCTGGATTCCATGCAACTCGGCATGTCGGTTGCTCCAAAATTGCAGATGCGATGGGACTGCCATCTTCTTCGCTCCGGCAGCGGCAGCCGCTTCCGCCTTGCGCTTCTTCGCTTTATCTGCATCCTTGGATTTATCGGATTGACCGGCTGGCTTATCTGACTTGGGATTATCGAGTTCTGCCGTCGATACCGTAAGCTCGTTGGCATATGCCTCTTCATCCCAGTACATTAGTTTCAGCGATGGGTTGTTCAGAGGACTGAATGTGAATTTTTCGTTGCTTGTGGGATTCAGCACCGGAACAAATACACCTGCGTGAATGTAGCTGACCAGAACCGGTCTGGATGATATGGTGAATTTTTCAAACGAGTTCAGACGTGTAATAGCAGCTTGTGCATCCTATTTGGCATTAGAAAGCTTTGATAGCGTAACAGCAACATGCTTACCTGGATAGTCGCAAATTCGGCGAATCCATAGCGCCAGCTCTCGTTACTGCGACGGTCTCGCACCAGCAAGACACGACGGATGGAGCCCTCCCTGGCACCAAGGTTGGAATCACCTGTAGTAGAAGCCACCTTTGCCCCCTTCTTCCCATTGCCTGGTGCCTCGTTCCCAGATGCAGGACGATACAGCTTGGCAACACCCTTGGCAAGAAGCTCTTCCGTTACCGAAGGTTCCAGTCCGCGGAAGAGCAGGAATTGAGAGGGTTGGTTCTCCGGCGCAGCATCATTGTCGCCATGGTTTTCCACCTTCGGTGCTGGCAACCCAGGGGGACCAGCCGGGCCGGCGTCTATTCAGATTAGAAACGCAATACAAGATGGAAGCCGCAGTGAACGTACCAGGTCGTGGCGCTTGGCACCTAAAGCATTTCTGGCGAGTAGAGTAATTCACAATTCCACACTGCATCCGTTAGCTCCATGCTTAGAAACCCCCGTGAAACATACCATCATGCAGTTCCAGTCCGCCTCTGCTCTCGCACGAGCACGGTCCTCTCTTTCACGGCTATATGCGATGCGGACCTTTGTGCCGCGGTCGTCCTGTGCGCTGGGTCCATGTAGGTAGATTGTAGGAAAGTTGCGCTCCACAAATGCTCGGGATAAGCTTAAATTCCGAAACCTCAAAAATCCAAGTTGTCGGGACAGCTCTGCCACATGTTAGCACTGCAGCAAGAATAAACTAAGTCCCACTCACTCGTCTGTCGATCACGAATGACACGAACGTCATCTAGGCCCTCAACATGATAGAACTCTTTCAACTCGTTGGTAATCTGTAAACCACGTCGACCGGATCCCGGTGACATGCATTCTCAGCCTCTTGCCATCAAAGGTGTTGGGCGGAGCACCGCTCCGAGTCCACAACAAAAATCAAAGGAAAGGAGTTGCCGAACGTCTTCTTCCACCATATCCACCGGTAGGCCATCCATCATCACCTCTCTGCTTTCATGTCCGTAATGCGGTTGTCGGTTGCGGCGAGGACTGCGGCTGCGGCTGCGACTGTAGCTTCGGCTTCGACTGTGGTATCCCGGAGAGCGATAGCCCTCACGGTCGCGATCTCGGTAGGCTGGTCTTCCTCGCCTTGGAGGAGGGGAGCGCGAAGAGCGCCGTCGAAAGTCATCGCGATCCCGACTGCGGTAACGGGGTCTGGAGTCGACTTGGTCTCTGGAATAATCGGGTCTTCTGTCCGCCGCGGGCCCACGGGGAGGCGAGCGTGAGAGATCTTCTCATGTGATTTAGTTAGTAACAGCTAGATCTGAAGAAGCAAATTGACGCTTGTCCAAGGAAAGCATGCGCTCTGTGCTACTGGTTGCGGGGAGGAGAGCGTATACCGCCAGGCGAGCGCGATCGGGATGGCGAACGATCGTCGTACATGCGGCCGTCCCGGTCATCACGGCGGGGCATAGGTCTGTGAGATGGACCAGGCGGATACCTGGCCTCATCCGGATGAAAATGAGACATGGCTGAGGTGATCGGATACAAGGAGATTGATAGTGGTGGAAGATGAGCGGATCATTGCTTGAAGCCAGAAAGCCCCGGACTCGGCAGAATCTGACCGCCCTGCTGCATTCACGAGCAGCTTATTCAATCTCCATCACTCAATATGTCACATCCAAATGTATTCACTCAGAATGCGTAATTCTCAATCTTTTCCTAATACCAGGCTGAACTCTTGGTGCTATTGCTATGAAAGTCGCCCGAGTATTCCAGGTCTCACGGTACAACACCACATCTCTTGCCAAGTCGCTTCTGTGCAATTCCATGCTAATGGCATGACTTGTCATCTGAGCCATAGTATGCTGCTTTATAACTGTAGAGATAGCATCCATATGACTTCACTTCAGTTCTACGTGGAGTGATCCTAACTGTTCTTTCCCAATGCCAAGTGCAGTTCAGCTTCTGACTCTCGGTAGCGAACCTAATCAGGTGGCTTTCCCGGCGGAAGTCTATTGCTGTTCCTTCGCCAATACCGGTTAAGCCGCGGCCAATAACTTCCTGCTAGCGGCTTTCATTACTTCATACAGCATCAAACTAGGGGTAAACGAACCATAATAGACCGATGGAACGACGCAGTTGCCTAACTGAGGGTCACCACTCCAGCCCTGTTGTTGATAGAGTCTTGGCAGTCAGCAATTTCGCCCTGTTGCTCCGAGAACCCTGTAGTTTATGCAGGATATGCGCTGACTGAAATACTCAGTGGCTGTACTGGTCCATTGACATCCTGTCATATCTCGCCAGAGGCCATTGTAGAGGTTTCGTACGGAGGTCTCACCAAACATTGTTCCTCGTTCGGAAACCCGGAAGGGTCTGAGTTGCGGGCTGCCCCGTAGGGCTGAGCCTATGCGATGCCAATGAAACCGCACAGGAAGATACTATTTTGGATCGCCACAATATTATTCTGCTGCCTGACACCACCCTCCAATCGGAATTCCCAGTTTTATGGACCCTGACGGGGTTTCTGCACTAGCTTAGTTGAACGGGGCACAATGCAATCACAAGAAAGTCTTCTGTAGTATCTAAGTCAGGGCCGATGATGTCTACATGCTGCGCCTTGCCTGTCTTGGCCCTGCCACCTCAGATTTCGCTGTGCTCATTTATGTGCTCGGAAACTTTGGTTATAAATAAGCGCTAATAGTGTGGTCCGCTCGTCAATTTCTTATATATATCTGCGGAGCACCCTCATTTATCATGCACTGGAGTCTATGCTATGCTAGACGTGTCACTTGGTGCAACCCAGAGCAGACATGAAGTTTAATGCACTCTTTACGGCTCTAGCCGCCCTGGAGTATATCCAAGGTATATCTCCTATCTCGACCACCATGTGCAGCACTAACTCATGCTGACTCGCTCATAGGAGGCGTCGCTGTTCCTACAACCGCCGATCTCACATTTGCAGACATCTCACCTCGCGCATTGGACAATGCCCCTGACGGTTATACCCCGAGCAATGTATCTTGCCCTGCAAACAGACCGACGATCCGCAGCGCTTCAACCCTGTCATCAAACGAGACAGCATGGCTCGACGTCCGACGCAAGCAGACCGTCTCAGCAATGAAAGACCTCTTTGGCCACATCAACATGAGCTCATTTGACGCCGTCTCATACATCAACAGCCACTCGTCCAACATCACCAATATCCCCAACATCGGTATTGCCGTATCTGGCGGTGGCTACCGAGCCCTAACCAACGGCGCCGGCGCACTCAAAGCATTCGACAGTCGAACAGAGAACTCAACACACAATGGACAGCTCGGTGGTCTTCTGCAGTCAGCCACATACCTGTCCGGTCTATCCGGAGGTGGTTGGCTCCTAGGTTCAATCTACGTCAACAACTTCACCACCGTCTCCAACCTACAAACCTACAAAGAGGGCGAAGTCTGGCAATTCCAGAACTCCATCATAAAAGGCCCCAAGACCAACGGCTTGCAAGCCTGGGATACAGCCGAGTACTACCTCGACCTAGCCAAGGTCGTGGCCGGTAAGAAAGATGCCGGCTTCAACACCTCCTTCACCGACTACTGGGGTCGCGCACTCTCCTACCAACTCATCAACGCGACCGACGGAGGCCCCGGCTACACCTGGTCATCGATCGCATTGACCCAGGACTTCCAGAACGGAAACATGCCCCTGCCACTCCTCGTTGCCGACGGCCGTAACCCAGGCGAGATCCTAATCGGCAGCAACTCGACCGTATACGAGTTCAACCCCTGGGAATTTGGCAGCTTCGATCCATCCATCTTCGGCTTCGCTCCCCTCGAATACCTGGGCTCCTACTTCGAGAACGGCGAAGTCCCATCCGGTCGATCCTGCGTTCGCGGCTTCGACAACGCAGGCTTCGTCATGGGCACCTCCTCCAGTCTCTTTAACCAATTCATCCTCAAGCTTAACACCACCGACATCCCATCAGCCCTCAAAACGGTCCTCGCCAGCATCCTCGAAGAACTAGGCGACCGTAACGATGACATCGCCGTCTACTCCCCTAATCCCTTCTACGAGTACCGCAACGCGACAATCTCATACGAAAGGACCCCGGACCTGAACGTCGTCGACGGCGGCGAAGACAAACAAAACCTTCCTCTCCACCCCTTAATCCAACCCGCCCGCAACGTGGACGTTATCTTCGCCGTCGACTCTTCAGCCAGTACCTCATACAACTGGCCCAACGGCAGTCCCCTCGTGGCCACCTACGAACGCAGTCTCAACTCAACCGGCATCGGAAACGGTACTGCCTTCCCCAGCATCCCAGACAAAAACACCTTCATCAACGAGGGCTTAAACACCCGTCCGACCTTCTTCGGCTGCAATAGCAGTAACATCACAGGCCATGCGCCCCTTGTCGTCTACCTCCCCAACTATCCATACACGACGTTCTCGAACAAATCGACCTTCCAGCTGAAGTACGAGATCTCCGAGCGTGACGAGATGATTACGAATGGCTGGAACGTGGTTACGATGGGTAATGGCTCGAGGAAGTCTTATGAGGATTGGCCGACTTGTGCGGGCTGCGCGATTTTGAGTCGCTCGTTTGATCGGACGAATACCCAGGTGCCGGATGTGTGTGAGCGGTGCTTTGAGAAGTATTGTTGGGATGGGACGAGGAATAGTACGGAGCCGGCGGCGTATGAGCCCAAGGTGTTGATGGCGACGAGTGCAGGTGTGAGGAGTTTGGCCGTGTCGAGGTTCGTTTGGGGGTTGGTTCCGGTGGTGGTGGGGGTTTGGTTGATGTGAGTGGAGGTTGGGAATTGGGTACGGGGGTGTATAATAGAGATCTTATGGTATGAGGTTACGATAGTTGAACACTTCAGGGATACTTACTCATGTATGAAGGAAAAGATTGCATGTAATGCTTGTTTATTGTCGTAAAAGACTCCAAGTCCCCCACTAAGTACTGATTTACAGCATCATCACCCGATTACTTCGTCCGAAAGCATACCGAAAATCCAGTCAGTGAAGTGCACTCCTTCTTGCTCGTCCATCCCCAGTTGAACTCATTCACCAACCAGTATCCCCCAAGATTCTCTCATAACATGATCTAATCACCTTTCCACCGACACAAACCCCAACACAGTCCATGCCAGCAGCATCCAATCTTGCACGGGGCTGTACGGCTGCAGACAACCTGCGGGAGGTTCCAGTCCACGAGGTCAAGAGAAGTCTCTTCGGATTCTTCAGCATCGTCTACAGCTTTGTCCTGTTCACCGCGAGGGCACTTGGCCATGCAGACATTCTGCCAGCAGCATCCCTTGCATGTTCTCTTGCTGCACATGCCGTCGGTGTGGATGATGTCTGTTGAGGTGGGGAGGAGGTCGATGTCGGGCATGGAGTATCCTAGATACATTAGTCAGTTGGTTATCAGAAGGTAGTAGGGTTGGACTCACTCTTATGCATCTCCGGTGCCGATGCTGATGCAACATCATCGCTATCATCATAAACATCGAGACCGTCATCGTCGAAGACATCGAATCCAACATCACCATCAGAATCATAACCATGCTCCCCATCATCAACAACATCATCATGAACATCCCTCTTATCCTTATAACAATACGTACAAAGCCCCTTACGGCAACATCCACCCTTACAAGTCCTGCGATTGCATCTGGGCGGTTTGCCTTGAGATTCTATCATACCCAACTCTCATCAGCAAACACATCCTCCCCCCAGAGGAATCAAATAGAAAAAGAAGGAAATACTAACGCCAAGTAGCATCTCCATCATCCCGCTTCGCCATATCATTCGGACAATACGCAAGACAGAGGCCGTGGTAGCAGCACCCGTTCCCGCAGTCTCTGTTCGTGTGGCAGATAGGAGCGGTGATGTCCATGTCTCCTTCTGTGTGGAGGCGGGATTCTGGATGTGTTTTAGTGAGTGGGTATGGTAGTATGGACAAGTGGAGGGAGAGGTCTACCATCGATGAAACTGCGGACTAGTTCCGTGTGAACGTTATCCTCATTGTGGAGACAGTAGGCGAGACAGAGACCGTTGTAGCAGCATCCGGTGCCGCAGTCGGAGTCTTTGTGGCACTGGGGGTTGTCTGGTAGGTCAGTATGTTGGTGCCAAGGTGGGATGTGTTGGGGTGGGCTTACAGATGTCTGTGAAGCTTGGGCCGTCGGCGGGGATGGAGGCTGCTAGGGTAGCCAGGAGGGCGAGGATGAGGGCTAGGTTCATTTTGGATGTGGATTGTAGGATACGATTTGGGGATAAGGTGTTTATGGTGTCAAGAGGGAGGGGAGGAGAGTGATGGGGGAAGAAAAAGAGGAATTGAAGTGCTGGGCAGGTCAGGCTATTTGAATCTTGTTGTTGATGTGAATGCATGATGGAGAGTGGGTGTTTGAGACACGGGGTAGTCTATAGTGAAGAGTAGTACAGCCATGTTGGTTAATGGTGTTGA